CATGCTCACTGAGCGTAGTACAGGTTTGCTATGCACTTTTTTAGTCAGTGTGATGTAATTTAAACAATTGCAGGCTTTGCCAATGCACTTAATTTAGATGTTGAAGTGGAAGACATTGCTGAATTAGTGGATTATGCTGATGGAGAGCTAACAAATGAAGATTTAATGGAATTAGAAGCCATGCAGAATTTGAAAGAGGAAGAAGATGAAAGAACCGAAGAAATGAAAAAGAAATTCATGTTACATGGGTTAGCTGGTGTGTTCTCCAAAATTAATGTGGTTATGTTGGAACTTGAGGCTATGGATCCAAATACTGAACGTTTTAACATAAAGTTGAATGTGGGATAAGTGGACTTTTGAAGTGCTATAGAGAAATTTATCAAGAAAAAAAAAGATGATTACAACGCAAACCACAGTTACGAGTTTCTTTTTGACTGTTACATTTAAGACCTCTGCCCTTGAAGGTACAACGTCGTCATCTCCCTTACCTAGGAAAAAAACCTCTACAGCTCCAGATAACCATATGTACTGTACGTATGCAAGTCTTTTTATGAATAAATTTGAAGTTTGTTGCATAATTTTTATAATTTTACAATGATCCTATATTCCCAGCACAAGCTCCTCGCTTATCAACCAAGTCGCTAAACGATGTAGTCGTCGGAACGGAACTCGGTTGTAAAGTTAGGAGTACCTGTAGTGATTATTGATTAATGAAGCATTATTAAATAATGCTTCGTAAAAGAAATAAGCAAATAGAAAGAAGGAAGATTAATTCTTTATACTAATTTTCTTACATTATAAAATAATTTTGTTTATTTTTAATAAATTAATGAGAACTTAATTTAGGTTAGTAAAATTAGTTTAGAGATTAGTATTGTCTCATTGAAATGTTAAAATATTCAAATAACATAACATACTTCTCTATCACTGGAAACGTAATATCTTCACACCACTGAACCTCTTTAGCTTCAAAACCTCTTCCAATTTGAAATGAACTTTTTCAACCTGAAGCTGGAATCAAGTGGATTGCAAAAATGTTTGTAAGTTCATAAAATATGCAAATAGTTTAGTACAGTAGAGCCTCGAAAACTCGGCCTAATGTGGACCGAAGGGTGGCCGAGTTTGTGAAAATGTCGGGTTATCGGGAATGGGGTTAAAAAGAATAAGTATGAGTGTTTTTTCAGAAAATACTGTACTGTACTTGTATGTATTGTTTACTTGAGAATACAACAGAGAATAAACTGCTCAAATATCCTTAAACAAAGGAAATGTACGTCTTTTATGAAGGCATAAAGCCTTTACTACATGAAAATGAAAATTAATGAATACACTGTACAGTAATTTACCTGATAAGATAGACCTCAGAAAAATACTTTATGAGGCATAAAGCTGTCTTTATCATGAAAATTAATTAACTAAGGATTTTTTTTGCCCTGCCAGGGTGTGGCCGAGTTATCCGGAGTGCTGGGTTATCGAGTGTCGAGTTTTCGAGGCTCTACTGTATTCATAAAAAACATTTAAATGCAGTAAACTTTTTGGTTTTTAAAACAAGATTGTTTTCTAATGATTTTTGGTTTGTTCAATCATTATTTTATTGAAATCATTTTAAACTTTCATGGTCATTCATCTTTACAATAGTCCTTAAATAATAAAATGATGCAATAGTAACAAAAAGCAGGTGAAAAAATGAGATATTTTGAGAAATGAACACTGATTACTGATAAGAAGATGGCATGATGTTTCAGTCACTAATTTTTTCAAACTCGGTGAGGATGTAGTGCATCCCCAATGACTGACATGTGCTAAGCAGTAAGGTGCAACACTCAAAATTAAAAGAGAAAATTAAAGTTGAAAATTGCACAATCACTTAAAACCTTCAGAATATCTATAGTTTACAGAGTGGCTAGTGGCTCAGTGGGGATGTGCTAGTTTGATATTCATGAGATTTGGTATTTCAAATGTTGTTCAAATATCAGTGTGATTTTTTTTATTTTGTAAAACTGTAATTTTCACATTATTCTTGGTACTTTTTAATTATATTTATTTAAAAATTATTTTTGAATATTCCTGTACATATTGTATTCATATGTAATATTTACTGTATTTATAATTTATTTGGGCAGATGATAAGATATAAACAAAATTATCATTATTTATTTATATAAACAAAATTATCATTATCAATTTTGTTAATATAAAAGACATTTTTACTAACATTATTCAATTTCTTTGCTCTTTGGGAGAACAATTTTGTGGATGATAATTGTCATAGAAGCATGTGAAACAAACATTTCTGCAGCATGCACATTGAATAAATGCAGCAATTTTTACAAAACGATGATTTACATATGTCACTGGAAAATAAAACTTGATTAATGTTTAAAAACACTTCTTTGTCATCAACTAATTTGGAGAAGAATCATGCATGCTGTATCACATATGAAAATGTCAGAGCACTTAATGTGTTCTCCTACCTCTTTAGCAACTTCCAAAATTGATGAACTCTTGGTCCCAATTAGATGTTGATTTTGAGGGATCCTTCAAACGTAATTTTGCAATATTGTTGTGCAGTGATTCTTCTGCAGAACAATATTAAACAACAAAATTGAAAAACTAAAAACTAAACTAAATCAATGAAAAAACTAAAACAATGAAAAGATACTAAAGAATGAAGAACCAATTATAGACACATTCAGGTTAAAAATGACTTCATTGCCATGTACTGTACTATGTGTGAATATACAGAAAATGTTTTGTTTTTAAATAAACATTGTTAGGTAGCATTTTTAATTACCAGTTTTTCTCTATGACAATATAATAAATTAAAAAATACCAAGAATAAAGTGAAATTATACTGTAGTTTTATATAAAAAAATATGACATTGATAACCAACAACATTCAAAACACCAACCTCATGATTATGAAACTGGCACTGTCCCATCATGCCACCAGTCGTCTTTTTTTTTAAACATATCTTTATTTACAGAAAAGTACTATATACAGCAGGGTGTCCAACCTTTTTCTTTCTCTGGGCCACATTGGAAGAAGTCAAGGAGTTTTGGGCCACAAGTATATATAATATATACTTGTGGCCCAATATACAAGTATATCTAAAAATTAACATATCTAGATTATAATAATAAGTATTAAAACTTTATCAAGAAAAAAGGATATTTTAAAAAATTACTTCTACAGACACTTTCAATTTTTACTTAGAAATAGATAAATTCATTTATTATAAAAGAGACTAAAGAAAATTTATTTGAAGAACACAAATATTTATTTTATTTGGGTCTCTAATTAATAAAAAGCGATGAAACACCATTTTAAAGTGCATTTTTATTCAATTAATATAATTATAAATAATATGTAGCCGAAAAAGTAGCCACATTTGGTGCAATGTAGCCAAATCTTGCAACATTGGAAGAAATACTAAATAAAGCTGGAGTTGTGAATCAAAGGATTATAGACCCAAGTGCAAGGAAAAAGAGGCAAAGGACAAAAGATAAAGAAGTGAAAAAGGTTGAAAAATTACGAGTCCATATTTGCTTAACAGAAGATCTATTTAACGTTTCTCACTACTACATCTTTTGTCCTTTTGGGTCTATAATCCTTTGAGTCACAACTCCAGCTTTATTTAGTAATCCTTCTGCATTCACACATCTCCAAGTATTTGAAAATATTTTCTTTCCACTTAAAAATAAAATATGAATAAAGGTTTACAGCTTTGTGAAACTCTTTTTGAGTTTATGCCGTTGAAATAAATAAATAATGAAAAAATTAAAACATTTGTTGGTTTTGTTTACACGTTTATTGGGTTGCATTGGAACTTGCCTTGGACCGCATGCAGAAGGATTACAAAAGATTTAAACATACACGTAACGTACAAAAGGAAATCCAACGTTTTCCGCCTTCTGTCTAACACAAATGATGGCACTGAGAACTCTAAAGCACCAGGAGTATACAGCATCCCACTACAGGACGATAGGTTCCACAGAATAGTAATGTATATAGGATCCACATACAGATCACTGCAGGCCAGATTAAAGGATCACAAATATGACGTACAAAAAGGAAACGTTAATACAGCTCTGGCACATTATGCCAGTGATCCGGGGATTTCCCACTGTTGGGACCAAGCTACCCTAATACACAGGGTATTCGAATGGCAAAACATTAGAACATTAGAAGCTGTAGAGTTTTACAGGGAAGACAGGAGTGGAGCCTGCATCAATACAGATGCATTCATGTACCAAATGCATGGAAATACTATCTAGACTCATAATGTACGTCATATAAGATACATCACAGCCTTTATTCAAACATATTTGAAACTTTTAAAATTAGAATGCAATGACATTCTATTTATAGAACGGTTTTTCCATTCTACAGTTCCTGATGAGGGCCGATGAAATAGTGGCCGAAATGTTAAAATATTGAATTTCTTTACTGGAAATTTTGTATTGAGGTGTAATTCTTATCTACATGTACAGTTCCAGTTTTCTTGTACAGTTGGTGTTTATTGTATGTATAGAAAAGAAAAGAATATAAAAATTTAAATATAATTCTAAAGTGTGAATTTATTTTCTCATGTTTCCTCCCGTTTCTGTACTTTGTTACTAAATAAAGTGCTTATGGAGAATGGATAATGCATTGATGGTGCCTGTAGTTCTCTCTGCACTGGCATTATATTGCATATACTATACAGAAGTCTAGAAATGTTAGGTTTCAACAACAGCACATATACTGTATTACTTTACAGAAAAAGTCCTGATTAAGCACTTGTAACATAGGAAATGCTTAAATATAGATTATGTATACAAACAGCATATAAAAAAATATCAGTTTTTTTTCCTATATCTGCTTTGTGTAATATTTGTCTAGCATAATATTAAGCATGATAGTAATCAAATAGGAAACAATCCACTAACAATAATAATAAAGTTTACATTAGTTTGTTAATGTGCAAATGATAATAAATAATTTTATTTTTATGTAGTGAAAAATGCCTGCAACACAGAAACTAAATGATAATCAAACTGAACCAGAAGAAGGTGGTCAGTCTCAGCCTATTGATTTGGCTCAAAGAGTATCTTTATCATCATCAGTTTCTGCGCCGATGACGGCACCTACAGGCCCAGTTACAATGAGAACTCATGTAGATCCATCTAAACCGTCTTTTATGGTAAGTAATATGCATATGTTACCGGCCAAACGGGTTTATCCTACACATATCAGGATATACTAGTTTAGCCCAGGACAATCTAGTTTGGCCTAACTACTTTAGACTTAACTAGTTTGACCTAGGCCAAACTAATTTAGAATTATTATTCAAGTATATTAATGGTTAAAATAAAATTAAAAGGCAATCAATTAGATGAACAATATTTATTCAAACATAGTCTACTTAATTATAAAAAACAGTATTGATTAGAAATGACACAACACTTGTACAAAACTATAAAATAAAAATAAGCTAATCAGTACTTATCAGTTTGTATTTTTTTTTTTTTTTATTAAGCCATGCACTTTTAAAGGTAATTAACTTTTGAAAATATTTTCAAAAATTCAAACAAAATAATAATAAAAATTTTTAAAGTCAAACTAAAATTAAAAATGAACTTATTTGTGCTTCTTAGTGTAACATATAAAATATTTAATCTTTTATTTATTTTTATAGGGTGTACTGTGCTGGCATTTTGAATTACGCAAAATCATTTTTTTTACACTGGTATCTATTTGTAGCACAGTTTTTGTTACAGGTGCACCTCATAAAACCTTGTCCTGTCCCAATTGAATGCTTGGTAGCTGCAGTCTTTAGTGAGATTTGAACATCTTGATTAACATCACTTTCTTGTATAAATTTTTGAGTACAAAGGTCTAATTCAGTTTTGTAATAAACAAATATTTCATTTTGACCAAATTACATAACATACTTATGCTTTTTAGACCAAACAAAACAGTGTTTAACATTGCGCTTTTTTTCTTTGAAGATCTTTATCAGGCCTTCATTATAAGTAAATATTATACTAAAACCCTATCTGAAAAAATTCATAAAACTTGAAAACCTCTTCCAAATATAAAAACAATAATCATCAAAACCAGTTTAGATCTGACAGTGAAATAGAGTAAGATGGTCATTAAATTAAAAAAGAATTTATTTTTTTGAAGTAATTTGAGAAAAAATAAATAATAATATGCATAACTAACCTGCAATAGAGTGTCTGCAATATTCCATGCTTATTTCCAATTTTGTACAGGCCATCATTGTTTATTTCAAGAACAACACCAATAACATTTCTTAGGTTGCCTTTTCCTTTGTCATCAGGAAGATAATGTGACTGTGCCAATTCCTGATGTAAATCAGGAATTGGCACAGTCACATTATCTCCCACTTTAGCTGGCGGATGTGATTTGTCAGAAGCTGATTTTATTTTATTTTATTTTTTTTTTTTGCCTGTTTCTGAAGGTTTTCAGCAGCTGTTTGTCTTGCCTTTTGGATATCATCACCAATTTTAGAAGTTTCAGTATCATTACCATCACTATCATCTCCTGAATCATTGTGATCATTTGTCTGTCTATGGGTTAAATCAGTTTCAATAAGTTTTTGAAGGTCATCTTCATCTTGAATATCCTTTATTATTTCTGGTAGTAGTGATGTCATTGAAAGACCAACTCTGGGTTCAACTCCAAACATAGCTTTGTAAGGCAATTGTTTTATGCCCAAATGATAGGCCCTGTTTTTTGTAAATTGTACATACCTCAAGCCTTCTGACCATTTAGTCCAGGGGTGGCCAACCTTTTGCATACCATGCGCCAATTTTTTGATAGACGAGTTCAGATGCGCAGTGGCGTACCGTGGGTGTTAGCCGCCCGGGGCGGAGAAAAATTTCGGCCACCCTTTAATCAGGTATTTCAATTTAAAAGATCAAAATTCAGTTGTGTGAAAAAAAAATTAATAAAAAATGCGGTAGTGGTGTAGTTACCCGTACAAAATAGTCCCGTTTGACATTAGTGGCATACACGATTGCGAATGTATCGTGAATCGTAAAAGCAAAAAAAAAAAAAAAAAAAAAGGTCAACAGGTGTAGCAGTCCAACCGACTCGTGGACTGTCCGGACGGTAGCACTGTCATTTAGACGCCTATGCACTGATCGAAAATAAACATACATGCATACACTGTAATTTACTATGTGGAGAACACTCATTTTATCTGTAAAGTTGATTGCAACGAATTGTGCAACAAATGAACTTGCCAAGACAGACTATAAAAAATTAATTTTCTATGTAATATTCTTAATTGCAAAGAAGCCAAATCTGGCAATGTTGCTCAGAACTGACTAAAGCGCCACTTGTAATCGTCCAATGCGCCAAGTTTGGTGCATGCGCCACGGTTTGGCCACCCCTGATTTAGTCGATTGATTCTTTTAGCCAACAACTGATCATGTTCTTGACGTCTTGGTTTGCTCTTGACAGGGCCCTGACTTTGGCTGTGTCGTGATTTTCCATGCACTAGCTTAAGTTCTGGCCAAAGACTTGTCATTTCACATATAATATGATTGATGAATTCTCTTCCATTGTCTGACTGCAAAATACATGGGGCACCTATCATCAAAAATATGTCATTCAAATGGTAGGCTACTTCTTCAGCTCGTTTAGATTCCAAAGCACGAAGCAAAATAAACTTGGTCAAGTGAACTTGGTAGACCATGATAAATTTAAACTTTCCATCAGGTTGAGTCTGAAAATCAATGAGATCCACTTGTCACCTACTGTTCATTTCAGAATGTAAAATTGGCTTAGAAACTAAACCTCTTTTTTTTTTTTTTTTTTTTTTTTTCTTGACATGTTACACACACAGATAAATAAAGGTTAATCATCTGTTTTGTGACATTAGCATATTTTAAAGATGTCTCAGCCAATAATCTGTCATGTCTGCTGTGTCCAACAACTCTGTGAGCTGCATCAATATCATCATACAATTCCTCAGCAGGAATAAAGTATTTTATGTTCTCTTCACTATGGGCAACAAGTTTTTTTTTAACAGAATCAATGTTTAAAATTGCAAACCTTTGTAATTGCCTTTGATGAAGTGATGTCTTAATTTGACTTTTTCAGCCTCTTCCACTTGTAGGATAAGTTCTAAGTCCACTTCATTGTATGTACACAAGTCACAACATGATTGCATGTTGTGACTTGTGTACCTACGTGCGATTTGTGAAGCTGTATTAATTTGATTTTTTGAACGTACCTAGTTTAAAAGTTTTGTGTTGTTTTCATATTGTTATTATGGATGAGCCATCATCTAGTGTTCAAGTTTATCAGTTAAAATGGAGAGAGCGGGTTTTAAAAGAAATTTTGCAAAGTTAATATATAAAACCTTCTCATTTTAATGCTTTAACAAAGAATAAATACTTAGATCTTATCCTACAAGTGAAAGAGGCTGAAAAAGTCAAATTAAGATTGCGTGTAATGAGTAAATTCGCATTTTTCACCAGATGCTTGACCTCTGGTGTTTACAAATAAAACTGTTTTATCTGGGTCATTTGAATCATTCTTGTGTATTAGCAGTAAAGATGAATAGCAATAGAGAAGCTTTCTATTGTGTTCCAAATTGAAATTTGAAAGCCCGTGTGGCTTTGAAATTTCAATTTGGAACACAACAGAAAGTTTTTCAATTTGGAATGCAACAGGAATGTTTTTCATGTGGGAATAGACAAACTTATATTGGGGGGAGCCCAATATAAATTTTTTTGTCTATTCCCACATGAAAAACATGATTATTCGAACGTTGGTCAGTTATATTTATTAACTTCTTCGAATTCCGAAAGAGTGGATTAGACTTAAGAATTGGCAAAAGTTTCCCCATTGTCCAACTTTACATGAAGAAGTTATACTATCAATTTAAAGAATTTTTCCTTAAAGTTTAAAATGCAAGTAATTTTGTGGGGGATGTCAGAGCTGATGTTTTTTTACACAAAGGGCACAAATATGTGTAGAACAATCTCACTCATTTGTTTTGATACCACACAATGACATGTCTCGCTAGCAATAATTGTTCTCCTTCTATAAAATTTCTCGATTATCAGCTATAAGCAGCATATATCATATAGTTCATATTTAAAAATTTTTTTTAAATTTTTGTTTGTATGTTTTTCAAATAATCTTAAGAATGTTCCATTTCCACATTCCATTTGAGAATGCTTTAACTTGAGGAAGATCTGTGTAGATGGAAAACGTTTGTGTTTGCATTAAAATATCCTGGAATTGTACTTTTAAGGTTCAGAGGTGTGCTGTTTTTATGATATATATCATTATATCAGACAGTAATATGAATAATTTTATATTACTAGTTACAAATGACCCAGATAAAGTAGCCATTGTGTAAAAATGCAGAACCCTCTCTATTGTTCATGAAAAACATGAATAGACAACGAAAGCATGATAGAAAGGGGCGCAAGAGGAAAATCTCCACATTAACAGGTTCCAATGTGTTTATTTTATCACTTGCAACAAATAAATCAGTTCAGCCTAGGCCAAACTAGATTGTCCTGGCTAAACTAGTATGTCCTGACACACGTAGGATAAACCCGTTTGGCCTGAAATTGGGTTTGGTCAGTAACATATATAATAATAATATTTTTTTAATTAAATTAATGTTACTTTAATTAATATAAAATACTGTTGAGATTTGATAATGAAACAAACAAACCAAAATGGTAAGAGTTCTTTGGTAAGTTTTTGGTAAGTAATTTTTAGTTTTGATTTTGTTAGTAATGGAAAATAATGTTACTGTTTGTTAAATTATAATATAAATGTTAATCAATCATGAATAAAAACTACATTATCATTTAATATCTATTAGCATGACAATATGCATCATGTGTTTTAACTGTCAACAAGACTGACTAATTTCTCATGAAAGCCGACTTTGAAAAGTTCATCTTTCATTGGACAAACTATAAATCAATTTTTTAGCAACACAAAATTTTTAAAACATGACTAAGTATTTCTGCCCAGCTATTCAAAATGAAATAATAAAGTCATTATGGAAAAGTTTTGGGTTAACATCCTACAAGATGTTTCTTGTCTCCTTTCTTTTCATTTATGCGATACTACTAAAGACATCTCATAAATTGGTCAAAGCCAGATATATATTGCAAAATATCTACAATAACCTGTACT